GTGACAGACTTTGGGGAAGTGGACGGGGTTCCCTCAGCAAGAGGGTCCCCAAGTTCATCCAAGGTCCTGCAAAAGCCACCATGGGATCCTTCTTCCTGGCTGAGTAGTACTCCGTGCTGCGTAGATACCCGGTTTGCGTCATCCATCCGTCTGACGGACACCTGGGCTGGGGGCAGACTTTCCAAAGATGGTGCACGCAGGTCAGCGACAGCCAGGTGACCCGTCCACTGGGGTGTCCCTTCAGTGTGCCCATTGGCCCATGAGCGGAAATGCGGTGTGGATACACAACGGAGTATGACTCAGCGATGAAGAAGGACAGAATGGTGGCATCTGCTGGCCCATGGAGCGTATTGAGGGGGTGGAAAATGGGAAGGGGACACTCTCAAGGGACACAGGGTCCTCTCAGAGAGGACAGGGACAGCGTGCCCCTCCTGCCCTCCAGTTTTATTGGGGTCCCAGGGAAGTCTCCAGAGAGCCCCGCCCAGGTCCCCCTCCTGACTTTTGACGGACAGGAGGGTGACATGAGACTCTGCAGTCCCCATGGCCATGGCCACTCTGGGTCACCTTGGTCCCTGCTGCCCTTTATTAGCCAGAGCCGGGCTTCCCTGACCCCGGGGGACCCAGAGCTGACCCCCTGCCCTTTCAGGTTCCAGCCTGGGGGTCTGGTGCTCCCAAGGACCCGGGGGCATGGTTGGGGGGTGACTGGAGGGGACTCGGGGTGACTGGGTCCCCAGAAATCCAGGCAGCCTCTCAGGAGGGACCTGGGGCGGGGGAAGGTCCCAGATGCTTTTCCTGCTGTGCACCCTGAGCGGCCAGAGCGGCCCTCTCTGATCCCAAGCAGCGTTTTACAAAAGGGCAGGGGGTTGGGAAGCCCCCAAGTGACTCATGCCAAAGGCCACCTGTAGGTGTCCAGAGGTGGTGGCCCCAGGGCCCTGGGGAAGCCCAAAAGAAAGACCAGGACGGAGCAGAACGGGGAAGGGAGGCAGAGGGACCCGCCCCCGGCCTCAGCTGTGGGCTTTTTCCAAAGCCTCCATTTCTCCAGGGAGGTCCCCAACCCCAGAGCTGGGCCTCTCAGAGGCTGCGCTGACTTTCCGGAAACTTCTGCAACGGTTGGTCGGTGGGGCCCCCGGGCTCTGGGCGAGATTTCTAGATTTTTCCAGGAATAGGAAGCCAACACCCCTTGAGGCCCAAGGGAGTTTCCCCTACAGCCACAGAGAAGGAGGCAGGGAGGACTTTTGCTTGAATTAAAATAAAAAATTTTTTTTTAAAAAGAAAAGTGGTCACTGAACTCGTTTTGGCAACGAGCAGAAAAAGAAAAGTGACAAAAAGCCATTGTCATTGTTTTTGTCCACCCGTTTCAGAGCCCCCTGCAGGGACCAGCAGGTGGGGGCGGGTTGAGTGGCATAGGGCGGAGCCCTGGCAGCCTTTTTGGGCTCCCCCCCTTGGAGGCCGAGTTTGCTGTACTCTGGGGCCTTAACGGAGGCTCGCCCAGCCCCTTGGGCTCTGGGTGCAGTTGGGAGACCGGAAACCGCAGTGTAAACACACTTTGCCTCCTGGGTTTGGTTGTGACTGTGTGACAGGAACAGGCTGGGTGCCCCCCACCCCACCCCGGGCTCCGGGAGGTGCTAAGTGCCCCCTCGGTTCCCACAGGGAGATTTTTGCACCGCGAGGTGGAGGCTTCCCGGGTCTCCAAATCCCGGATCAGCAGCTCGTCGCCGTGCACGAGGTGGGGGAGCCCGCCCGGAGGAGGTGGCCCTGGTGTGACAAGGCCAAGTGCTTCTGCGAGGTTTCCCCGAGCGCCCCCCCCCCCCCCCCGCCAATCACCAGCCTCCGCGCCGGAGGCTGAGCGGCACTTGCGGAGCCCGCTGCTGACCCCTAGCGTCCAGAACGCGTCCAGACGCGCAGCGGGTCCCAGAAAACAGACCTGGGGGGCTTCAGGGGCCCACGGAGAGGATGGCCCTATCCACAGCTGGACCCCAGCACCTGTGAGTGGGACCTGGTGTGGGGACAGGGTCTCTGCAGAGGTCGTCAGTGCAGGGTCCTGAGATGGGCTCCTCCTGGGTCAGGGTCCCTCGTGCCACGGCCGTGTCCTCCCCAGAGACAGAGGAGGGGACACAGACCCAGAGGAGGAGCCCCGTGGAGACGGAGGCAGGGACTGCAGTGAGGGGCCACCAGCCCAGGGCCACCTGGAGCCCAGGAGCTGGACAGGCAGGAGGAGCCTCCCTGGAGGCCGTGCAGGGAGCTCAGCCGGGGAGCCTGGTCCAGCCTCTGCCCCCCAGGGCTGGCAGAGGACAGATCCCTAAGGCTCTGAGCCCCTAGTCCGTAGGCCCTGGGGACAGCAGTCCCGAGGACACTAGTCAATTTGCAGAAGAAGAATGACCTCGGCTTCCTGGACGGCCTCCTGCAGACACCAGCCTCGGCCAGCAGGGGGCAGGAGAGGGACGAGATTTAAAAAAAATAAAAATTTAAAAAAAAAAAAAAAAAAAAAAACCCTCTTGGGCAGATCCCAGGTTTTGTGCAAAATGCAGCCTTTTGGGTCAGAATCCCTGGTGCTTCCAGAACGTCCTTCCAGGGCCCCAGGGGAAGGGCCTGGGAGAGGCCCCCACCCCCAGAGCCCGAACCCCGCAGTCCGCAGCGGGCCACAGCGGCCTCCCAGTTTCTTCCCATAATCCCTTGCAGAGGCAGGTTGGCGCCTGTCAATCAGGAATCTGCTGCCCTCCCCCTGCCCCAGGCCCCTCCCTGCGCTGAGAAGCCGACCTTGGAGATGCCAATCACCCGACCCCTGTGCCCTCCCCCAAGGGCTGCCCTGCAGGGGGAGGGTCCTGCAGACTCTGAGCAGCCCGGGCCAGGCTGGGGGGTGGGGACTGCAGCTGGCCTCCCCCCAGGGTCAGGGGATTAGCAGAAGAAAGGGATTCCTGGGATTCCAGAGGGGACCCGGGCCACCAGGAGCCTGAGAGTGACCCTCCCCCCGCGCTGGCTGCTGGTGCAAACCCGCCCTGAACCCGGCGTCTGCAGAGGACCCGGTTCTCAGGGGGGAGGGACGGGGATTCCTGATGTATTGGGGGGGGGGAATTCCGTGTCCCTCAAGACCCAGAGGGACCCCAGCTTTGGAGACGGGAAGGGACCCGGGAGTCCCCGCCCCAGCCCACCGCCAGCACTGGGTTCTGGAAGCTGTGCCTGGGACCTGGCAGCCACTCTGGGGTTGATTGCAATCTTAAAGGGCCAGCGCCCAGCAAGGGCTTGGGGGTGTGGGACAGAAATGCACAGTCGAGCTGAGCTCGGGGGACCCCAGGGCAGGGGACGGAGGGAGCCAGGGACCAAGCACGCTGGGGGCCAGGAGCCAGGGCAGCGGGTCGTGCGGGGAACTGGACACCAAGCCCCCTCCTCCCGGCTGGGGACGGCCAGCGAGCCAAGGGGGACCCAGGTTGCTGGAAAGTTCCGTCGTCGACCCCAGAAGGAGAAAATCCAAGGGTAACTGACCACAGGGCACCGGGGACTGCCCAGCTGACCACTGCGCACCCCGGAGGACCTCAGGGGACAGCGCCCTGGATCCGCCCTGGGCTAGGGCAGATTCACACCCAGTTTGCCACCTGCCTGTCCATCTGGCTCCCAGGTCTTTGTCCCCAAGGAGACCCTGGGCGTGGCCAGGGAGCAGGGACCTGACCGTGATGGACTGTCCATTCCAGATGTCCCTCCACCATGGCGCTCAGGGAAGAGAGCTCCGTGCAGCCCCAGGGCCTGGCCATGAGACCGTCTCTCAGCTGAGTGACCTCAGGGGGCTGCTGTGTGTCACTGTCCCTGGCTCAGGGGACACCGGGCCTCCTGTGACACTGGCCCTCCGTGGCCACGCTCTTTGCCATGGGCCTCCCCTGTGTCCAGGAGACTCGGGGGACACTGGGAGTCTGGGGGCGGCTTCTCCTGTCCACCACGGGGCGTCCACTCCTGACCACGTCCTGGCCCTGATGGGCGATGGGGACGGCAGGTGAAGGGACGGGGACGGCCAGGAGTGACCGGGAGGAGTGCCACCGGCGCCTGGGCTCTGCACTCTGAGGTCCGCCTCAGATGAGGAGATGGACCGGGTGGCTCTGGGAGGTGTCATCTGGGGACACCGGCGTGTCTGTCCAGTAAGTCGCCCAAGGCCAGCCTCAGCTGGTCACCTGCAGACCCCGGGAGCCCAGGTCCCAGGGAGCCCGAGTCACTCATCGGCACCAGCAGGTCTTGGGGGAATCCATCTAGGTGTGTCCCCTCTGTGTCCCGGGGACAGGTCACTGGGGGGACAGGTGACCTGCGGGTGTGAGGGGTGGCGGGATGGATGGGCTGGGCACTGGGCAGGTCCCCTGTGAGTGTCCAGGGGGTGAGGACGGGCGGGCCTGGACGCTGAGGGTCAGCTGGGCTGCAGGGAGGGTCTGCTGAGGGAGGGGACCCGGGTGGTGGCTCCTGGGGAGCTGGGAGGTCCCCCCGGTGCATGCAGATGACCACGTGGACAGCAAAGGGGTCTCCCCCAGGGCAGAAGCCCCCAGAGGAGCGCCCCAGCTCCAGGGTCCAGGTGGTCAGCTGAAGGGGGGACCTACGGGTGACCAAGGGCTTTGACGAGGGATGAGCACCCCGTGTCCCCAGGGTGAATGTCGAGAAGGACAATCCTGAGCCCAGATGACCAGGCCCAGGGTGTCTGGGAGGGAGAAGCCGCCCGTGAGCTGGACAGCAGCTGGACACCGGGGTCAGCAGGGGGAGGGGCAGCGGAGCAGGGTGACGTGGACGGAGGAGGGAGGGACAGAGCACCCGGCGCCCGAGTCCAAGGGCGTCCAGCAGCTGCACCCTGACCAGGCCAGCCTCTGGCCGCCCGGTCCACCTGCAGAGGTGGAGCCCCCAGCCCCAGGGCCACCCGCAGCGAGGTCCCTCTCCTGGGGACTTGAAGGAGGGGTCAGGTGCTCCCGGGGGACGCCGATAGCGCCCCCTGTGGTCACTCCCGAGGGGACCCAGTGATGGACTCGTAGGACATCTTTGCAAAATATCAGAAAAATATCTTTTTCTTCCAAAAAAAGTAAAAAAATAGAAAACTTCTCCAGCGAGGGTCAGTACGCGGGCGACGGAGGACGGGAGGGAGAACTTGCGGACATCTCGGGGGGTGGACGGGTCCCCCCCGTGCCCACCTGCGGCTCAGTTCACTTCTTGCACCGTCAGGACGTCTTCGAGGTCGTCTTTGCTGCCTCCTGTGGCCACGTGTGCCCAGTCCATCTGAGGTAAAGAAGGAGGGCGGTCAGCGTCCGATGTCCACGAGCCCCCGGGGAGGGACACTTTGTCCTCTGGTGAGGCTCTGCGATGCTTCAGTAGGACCTCGTGGTGGACACGTGAGGGTCACCGAGGGACGAGCGTACGAATGGGGGAATCCAGTGAACCAAAGTCACGTGCAAAGGCCCCGGGGCCACAAGCGGCTTGGATCAGAGGTGGGCTGGAGAGTGTCCCCCTCCCTGTCCCTCTGTGTCTCTGTCCCTGCCTTCCTCTCCTGCTTCCATTTCCCCGACCCAGAATTCCAGCCACCTCCATGCCATCCCCGTGGCCCCCTGGGAGGGGACAGAGCGTCCCGGGCTACCTGTCCCCCTGCGTTCCCTCCCAGGGGGACCCTCTGCCCCTCGCAGGCACCTGGTGGTCCACTTGATCGTTTGGGGTCACTTTGTCTTTGACCTGAGGGATCGGGGGGAAGAGTCTGCGCAGCCCGTGGGACCTGGGGACACAGAGAGGCAGGGGGAGAGGTGACGGGGACACACGGCTTTCCCCACGGGCCATCAGGACGCCTGTTGCTGGCTCCTCGGCCCACCTCTCCAGAGCAGGAACCACAGGGGGACAGAGTGGAGGAAATCAGGACCATTGGGGACACAGAAGTACACAGTGTCACACAGACCCGAGGAGAAGCCACGCGGAGACGGAGGCAGAGACTGGAGTGACGGGCCACCAGCCCGGGCGCCTGGAGCGCACCGTGCCTGCACCCCACCACTCGTGCCTCTGTTCCTTTCTGCTTCCTTCAGGGGCGTCTGGGAAGCGCCTGAGACCCAGGTGGGTCCTGAAACCTCATCCACCACCCTCCCCCAGCTGACCATGTCCACCCCGGGTGGACCCGACTGCGGGGAGGGGCCTGACCTCCGGAGGTCTGGGGTGCAGGAGGCCCCCAATGGGAGACCTGAAGAAGGAGGCGGAGCCCAAGCTGCCCATCAGCAGCAGAGCACATCTGCGGGGTCCCCTGTCCAGGCCCAGGGCCCCTACGCGGGGTCCCCTGCCCAGCCCTGAGCCCCTCAGCAGCGCCCGTCTGTGCCCGTTCTCTGGTCACGTGGTTTCCAGCGCCCTGTCCTCCTCCGGTCCCCCACGTCCAGGCACGAGACTCCCTGGCACCAGGCTCTGTCCCCTCCGAGGACAGGCCAGCTCTGAGCCATCCCTGCCCTCCCGGGTCCCCTGCCCCTCAGCGGTTACCTGTTGAGCAGGAAGCCGAGGACCAGGGCGCAGACGAGGGTCCCCAGGACCACCAGCAGGTAGACGTGCAGGAGGCCGCCCTCCTGTCCCCGGGAACCTGCGGGGACACGGCCCGGCTGTCCGTCACGGCGGTGCCCAGAGGCGCCCTCGGGCCTGGCTGGTCACCCAGGGCGGGAGGGGACCCAGGACAGAGGTCCCCACCTGTCCCCAGGTGGCCTGGGGTCTGCGGAGCGGGACCTTCCTCCCCGAGCCCGGCCACCAGGGGGACCGTCCAGCGGGGTGACCGGGACACGAGCAGGTGGGTAAGTGGACCCTTGTGCACAAGGTGAGTCGATAGTGTGTCCTCGTTAGTGTATGTCCACGTAGGGGGACGACGACCACGACTAGTGCTGCTGACCATTATTCATATGACATGATGATTACTAATTAGTGCTGCTGATGATTATTCATGTGATGTAATTATTATTAATTAGCACTGATGATTATTCATATATGATAATTACTAATTAGTACTGTGGATCATTATTCATATACGATAATTACTAATTAGTACTGTGGATCATTATTCATATATGATAATTATTAATGATTATTGTTGATCATTCATGTGATAATTATTATTAATCGTTGTTGTTGATTATTCATATAGTAATTATTATTTATTATTGTTGTTGATTATTATTCATGTAGTATAATGATGATTATTAATTATTATTATTCATATAATAGAATAGTTTTATTGATTATTATTGTTGATTATTATTCATGTAACATAATGATTATTATTAATATTGTTGGTTATTCATATAATATGATTGTTATTATTGTTGATCATTATTCATATAATAATCATCATTATCATTAATTATTATAGTTGATTATATTCATATACTAATAATAATAATCATTGTTGATTACTATTCATATACTAATAATTATTATTGTTGATTATTATTCATATAATAATTGTTATTAATTATTATTGTTGATCATCATTCATATAATCATGATTATTATTAATCATTTTTGTTAATTGTGATTTCTATAATATAATGATAATTATTAATTATTATGGATTATTATTCACATAATAGAATAGTTATTGATCATTATTGTTGATTATTCATATAATTATTATTATTAATTATTTTTGATTACTCATATAGCATAATGATTATTATTAATTCTCATTGATTATTATGCATATAATATAATAAAAATTATTATTAATTACTGTTGATTATTCATACAATACAATGACTTTTACTATTTTTGTTGATTATTCATATAGTATAATAATTATCATTAGTTATTGTTGCTGATTATCATTCATATAATAATACTTATTGATCATTGTTGATTATCATTCATATAATAATAATTATTATTAACCATTGTTGATAATTCATATAATAATCATTAATCATTATAGTTCATTATGATTCATATAATATGATAACATTTTTATCGTTGATTATTCATATGATAATTATTGATCATCGTTGATTATAATTCGTATAATATAATAATCATTATTATTGATTATGATTCATGTAATATAATTATTATTATCACTATTGATTATTATTATCAGTAGTCGTGATTATTACTATTTATGCTCTGGCTGGGACCCACGGGGGGCGAGTGCGGTACCGACCGTCCCTGTGACATGTTTTAATATCTGACAATATCTGGAGGCGGGTGGTCACATCTTTTTTTCCTAACCAGCACTTGAGCCCCGGGCCCCTTATCCCGAGCCCTGAGCCCTGTCCCCTCCCTGTCTGTCGGTTTGATTTAGGGACAGGGTCTTGCCAGGTTGCTCAGGGCCTCACTCAGTTACAGAGGCTGGCCTCCGACTCGCGATCCTCCAGCCTCAGCCTCCCGAGCCACTGGGATGCCCGGGGTGGGCCGCTGCGTCCAGCTGATTGTTTTTCTGTTTTCTGTCGCAGCCCTGGACCTGGAACCCACGGCCTCGCACATGCCACCCATTCGCTCCTCCAGTCCCAAGACCCTTCCCCCTGCCTGGGGACCCGCAGCGGTGACTGAGTGACTTCCCCGAGGGGGACCCGCGGATGCATCCTGGCGGGTGCAGGGCTTGGGCTGCCGGAGGGGCTTACGTAGTCCCCTCTTGGGTCGCGGAGGGAGCTGTGAGTGGACACCCTGAGTCTGTGCCAGGTCCAGGGACCTCCTAGGAGCAGGCAGAGGTCACCCGGGGGTCTCCCGTGCACGCAGCGCCCTGCCCCCGGGCTCACCGAACTCCACGGGGCGGCTCCAGTGACCCCAGGGTCCCCCGCGGGAGTCCGCGGCTCTGATCCTCAGGCTGTGAGGGCCTCTGGGCTCCGGGCTGGGCAGGTGGCACACGTTGTGCACTTCCCCAGAGACGTTGATCTTTGGAGAGGGCACAGAGTTAGAGCTGGGGCCGTCGGCCTCGTGGAAAGAAGGGGGGTTCCAAGCGCACTCTGTCCATCAGACGTGGACACGGCAGAAGGAGGGGGGACTCCGCTCTGGATTCCAGACCACGGCGCCCCCACGTGAGGAGCATATTGAGAAATAAAGCGCTCAGAATCTGTGGGTCCCCCTTGGGCAGATTCAACCCATTATTGGTCCCCCCCAAATAACGACAGCTGGATGGATTCCCTTCCTCTAAATATGGACAGGCAAGTGACTCAAAGGAGCTAGCCCAGAGGCAGACAGGTCCACAGTGGACGTCTGTACCACCGAAGAGGAGTCTGGGGTCACAGTGGTGCTGAGGATTGGAAAATGCGGAACAGAAGGACTTGAGGGATCTACCTTTCCAGGTGTTTTGGAGGGAGCTACAGGGAGTGCTGTCCCCTCGGGGGACTCGAGGGCTCTGTGCACACATCTGGGCACAGAATCCCACCCATCCTGGCCACCGCTGGGGACGCTGGCTCTTAGAAAGGGTCCAGTTGGCCGACGACAGCAGACGTCCAACTCACCACTGAATTGTCACCACGGGCTCTTTCGGTGTTCTAGGACAGAGGAAGGTGGACGGTTGGACACTTTCAAGGGCTTTCACAGAGGCTGACTGTCCTCCTCGTATCTGGGTGGACTCGGGGGTCCCCGCCCACGTCATATCCCGTGGGCGCTGACCTGTGTCCGGATGCCCAGCTGATACTGGAAGTCCAGGTAGGTCAGGTAGGTCTTGGTCCTGGGCTGGTTCCACTGGAGGACGCAGTGAGACGCGTTGCACTGGACGCTGATGTTGTCCGGGGGACTGATCTGCTCTGTGGGGACAGTCGGGCACCTCGGTACCTGAGTGAGCTGTGCCCCTGTCACCTCCCCGCCAGGGAGGGGAGGCCGAGCGCCGCCTGCCCACCACCGATGGTCAACACCTGGAGCTCTGGGGGATGGTCCTGAGGACCCCCGGGGGCTCCGAGCTCATCCCCAGGGGCCAGTAAGGTGGCTGCGGGAGTCAGGGTCAGGGTCAGGGTTGGGGTTCGGGCGTAAAGTTAGGTTAGGATTGGAGTGAGGGTCAGGGTGAGGTTTAAGGTAGACAGATGACCACTTGCCATCTGTGGGAAGGTGTCCAGTCTCCCCCATGGTTAGAGAAGGAGGCATATGGTGGCCTTTGGTGGCATCTGAGCCTATTTTTCAGATATGAACAGGAAGCATGTGAAGGTGACGGACATTTCCCAATTAGGTTCGAAAGAAGGAATCTCCTTAAAAATCAAAGGGACGTCCACAGTGGGGGGAGGAGAGGGTCGAGCAAGTGCCGGGGAGGGACATTGGCCAAATTTTGTCATTGTGTCATGTGCATGTATGAATATGTAGCAGTTAATCCCACCTACAGGTGCCACTCTAATTCACCAATACAAAATCTGGGGGAGGGGAATAAAAGTCAGGCTTGGATGACCCTCAAGGATGAACGTGAGAACAATTTCTCCCTCCCTATCCTGGATCCAAGTAGCCTCAGTTCCTTTCTGGGGACATCAACTCAAGAGCCCCAAGGGCTCCGTGGAGGCCTCCTTCTGGCAGAGGAAGGGACCCCAATCTGGTGACAACTTTGCCTCCACATTTCTCTATATTTCTAACCCACCCCACGGCCAGACCAACCCCAGGCTCTGCCCTCACCCATCTCCCTTGTCGACAGAATCAAATCAAAGAACTGGATCTCGGTCCCCCGGCTGGTCCCGTTCACCAGGAAGAAAGTTCTGTACTTCAACTTGGAGATGTCTCGCAGGTGGCAGCCCCTGTGGGTCCCCGAGTCTGGTATGTAATGGGGACATTCGGTTTCATTACTTTCACTGTTAGCTCTCAAGAAAGAAAAGAAAGAAAGAAAAAAGAAATTGGCATTTTTTTCCCTGCCGTCCTGGCGTCCCGCCACGATCCCGCAGACGACATCGGTGCTTACTTCAACTGTCGCATGTACAGAGAATACTGGACGTCGCTGGGGGCCGCAGGGCCAGGGGCCCAGGTGCAGTTCATGAAGGCTGCGCTGTAGATGGCGCACGAGAAGTTCCGGGCGGCGGTGCCCTGTGCACCTGGGAAGAGGGGCTCGGCGTCATTTTCTCTCCAGGGTGGCGGCATGGGGGACAGGGGGGTCCCCACGCGGTCTGCCCACCTGGGTTGCTGAAGGGCAGCTCCTCCTGCACTGGGGCCCCGTCCACGGTGGTGCTGACCTTCAGCGTGGCGCCTCTGTGCAGGGCGACCCTGGTAAAGGTGCACTGGCAGGACTCGGCCTCCGCCTAACCGAAGGTGGCAACTGAAGTCCCCTGTCCTGGGGCCTCCCTGGGGCCCGCCCCTCCCTGCACCCGGGACGCCCCTCTGCCTCCTCCTGGGGAACCCGGACAGGAGGTCTGCTGGGTCTTCCCTCAAAGCCCACCCCTCGGTTCCTTGCTCAGGATTAGGTCCACCAAGAAGCCGGGGTTCTGGGCTGCAGGGGGCGCCCCTAAACACCGCCCACCTGCAGGGGATGCCCCTGACCATCTCCCACCTGCAGGGGGCGCCCCTGACCACCACCCACCTGCAGGGGGCCCCCTAATCACCACCCACCTGCAGGGGTCCCCTAACCACCACCCACCTGCAGGGGGAGCC